TTTTTTGATAAGGAATTATAGTATACCATCCAAAAAGGAACTACATAGGAGCCCTTAGGTAAATTCACTCCAGCTCGAACATGCCATCCAACTCGAGGCTTACTACGTGTACTACTAACAACGGTGGCCAATGAACCACAGTTTCACCATGTCTACATACCATGCAAACCGTGTCTACACACAGATGTAATCACGGTTGACAAACGATATTCAACTGTGGATACTGAAATACGGATTCAATAGTGCAAACAGGTGCGCTCCGAGCCGACACCACTGAAACGGCAAAACAAACTGCCATTCAGAATTGGTGAGGCGAACAACTGGTGCCATGACTTGCAAACCCTGAACCCTAAACCCCTAAACACTAAACCCTGAGCTCTCTGATTGAAAGCATAACCCCAAAATCGCAACTCCCAAGCCGAACCTAAACCCTAAACCCTGAACCCCCTGTCTTCCCGCACAATTCTTCTGCAAGCTGTGAAGGGAAGTGGCGTCGTCAAGAATCGGATGAGCCCCAGCACCCAACACCCTGCAAGCCCGAAGCCCGAAACCCTAAACCCTAAACCCTAAACCCTAAAACCCTAAACTCCAAACCCCTTCAGCCCTAAGAGCCCCTGAGGCCTAAACCTTGTAACCCTAAACCCTAAACCCTAAAACCTAAACGCTCAACCCGAACCTTAAAGCCCGAAACCCTAAGCCCTAAACCCTCATGCAGGTCTAGCGGAGGAGATTGGAGCTCTTCGTTTTGCGGGTGATGCGCCCTTCTTCGCAGATCTTAGGTCCCGCAACAGCCCTAGTAAGGGTACTCTTAGGTCTTCTTCCTATTCCTAACCTTTAGTTTGGGGTCTAGTGTTTAGGGTTTCGGGCTTGGGGTTTAGGGTAAAGCTACAATTGTGGGAAACTTACCGGAAAAAAACACCACAGAAAGACCTAGCATATTCAGAACTGACACTACGCGGCTTCCGAGCGAGGTCATGAGCTTGGAGTCAGAAATGCCAGACTTTAACAGGCTTTGGGTTGGGGCTTAGGTTTAGTCTTCCCCCTTTCTGTCGGTTCTCATATGGATTCCTTGCTACTTAGTCGCAACATATTTTCTAGGGCTCCCTGTTACTGATACCATACCATCATATACCAGAAGACACTCTTCTACTTCTCAAGGCCTCGATACTAAATGTAGGGGCCTTGATAATTAGCATAGGGTTTGGGGGTATACCGTACTATAACTATAAGAAGGGACCCCCAAAATAGTATTGGTAATTGCTCAGGCCCCATGGGCAACAAGCATCGTATCTTGGCTGACTTGGTTGCAAACAGCAGCATGCAAGCCTCAAGGGCTAAAGATGCGAAGGGCACCAGCGGCCGTAGTGCATCGTGCCACGCTCCATCTGCCTGACACAAACTCAACCCCGCAATCCGCGACAGCGCCATGCTCCGCTAAACCCTATAAGCCCTAATTAAACCCTAAAGCCCTATACCCCAAGCCCTAAAACCCTAAAGCC